ATAAGGTATGTCCATTTGTCTTATTCTAGTCCGTATACTGACATTAGAACCTGACGTTAACTGTCTTTAACATCTAGTTAAATGACTTCATAGCTATTATTCAAGCAGAAGAGATTTTAATTAATTTGAAGATTTAAGCATCACGTTACGGCAACCAATTCAACTGATGACCTTAGAATTTCGTGGCTGAGATTGTGATTTAGGTAATCATTGGAAAGAGCGACTTTTTACTTTTCATGGCCAACTCAAAATAACTCACTCTCTATTGTTTTGATGCAAATGACCTTTATATGTGTGTTTCTTGCTGAAGATCCACTTAGAGATGCCATGCTAAATTCATGCACCGCCTTTTTTCATTTCAGTCTTCAATCAGGTCTGGGCAGGCTTCACCTGTGAGAAAACCAACTTCACCTAAACTATAAAAGGACCTCCATAACCATAATCCCATCACCAGTGATTTTGACGTTCTTTTGTCCCTCAATAATGAGATTTAGTAAGGATGCTTATTTAGCGTCTTTGCTCTTGCTTCCAATCATCTCTATACAAACTATCTATGGATGTGAATTGTACCGCTTCGTTGTCACAGATGACGGACAAGCTCTTGAAGGCCACGCGATAAGTACCATTACCAAACTYCTGGTCAGTTTATGCTGGAGTGATTGTGTTTGGTTGCCATGGTGTTTTTCGATAAATATCCGACAGACAAGCCAAGGGATGTTTGAATGTGAGCTAAATAACTCTAGCAAGAAAGCAAATCCATCCAAGATGGCGCCCAGAGAAGGATGGTCTCTTCACGAAATGACGGTATGCTCTTCAACATCTTTTTCTCTAATTTTTTTGAAAGATTGTCTTGTTACAAATAATAAAGGAAAAAATGTAGTTAGTCTACTTCGCTTATTTTTTAAAACAGGATTTTAGAAATACTTTTTTATCAGTTTCAGGGTCTTAGTCAGATTAACTGCAACACCAACGAGTGCAAAAGAAAAGAAGGTAGACCTTTATGTCATTTTCAAAAAGATCCCTATATGATCCCTGAACTCTTGAAAAAAGGCCTTGGCTAACTGGTTTTTAACCCCAAAGAGATTGGACAACAAATATTGTTGAATTTAAAAATCAGTTCCAATGATAAAACGTATAAAATATTCAATGAGAAAACAAAATGCAGAGGAAAATTAATATCGATGCGCTCTTTCTCTTCTTCAATCCTAAGAGATTGCAGAAAATGTAAATATCCAGAAACTCCAAATTGGCACCCTAACAAGATTCCCAATCACGATTTTTTACCCCTAAGAGATCCGTTGAGCATCCCCGGTACTTTTATAAAGAAGTCTTCCCCCTCCTTCCCCAGAAGGAAGTAGGTAGCAGCCAGTAAAGACTGCAGGATCAGAGCTAGAATTGGTACATGCATGATAACAAAAACGTCCCGTGTAAACTGAAAAATCTTCCAGAGGAGCTGACCAACATTTTCTTCACAGATCTAGGCAATGGCTGGTTTCGTTATGGAAAAGCAGCAATCAAACTCTTTACAGAGAGGAAAAACTGGACCGATGCTCGTAGCCATTGTCAGTCATTAGGTGGTGATCTTCTCTCTATTACCAGCTCACATGAAAATGACTTTGTCCACGATGTCTTCGTGGAGAACCTCAATTTGACATTTCTTCAAGGTTGGTTTTGTATATTTTCCAGTGTGCAACGAAAGCAAAATTGATCATTAGTATTCTTAGCGGAATTATAGTGGCCATATAGAGAAATATCATAAATAAAGTAAGAACCTCTTTATATGGAGGTAATAGTGCTAGGAGAGGAATGTCTCATGCTGAACCAAAGGCCTGGCAGACCTACGATAAATGACTAATACAGCAATAGAAGCCAATGAAAGAGAAGCCTTCTCGGTATCTTGTCGTTGAGTCTTTACCTTTTATTGCTAATAACGTTTCTAAAATATTTTCTATTTTTTGTTTGCTTCGCTTTTTTTACAGTTAATGCTCACCCACCTTTTTTAAAATAGATTTAGCTTCTTCTTTGTTTTGGACAGTTTGTTGTATGGTATAAAGTGCCTACCAACAACATTGCATTTGGGGGAGGGAATGGACAATGGACCAGAGAGGTGTTCCAGGGGGGAATAATCTGAATGCTTATGCTACTTAGAGGCACATGGTATGGTCCACTATTAGCATTCAATGGGGGCTTTTGCTTTTGTTTTGAAAATAACCTAACCACTTTGTTTGACCAAGTATTTTGACAG